CACTTGCTGTTTGTGTAACGAAAACGTCGCCATTTTAAGTATCAAAAACACTCCTCACACTCGCCGCTACCACTAGAGTTCTGTGTGCCATAGAGTTCTGCCATCTCTGTCACGCATTCACAAAGAGTGCACACGTATTTTAAACAAAACCGCATGTGTCTATCTGCTCCCAGTCCTGAGAAAAAAAAATCGGAGACCTTAGAACTTGAACGCCCCTCGTAATACAGTCATTCGACACTTTAAGTCATAACAGCTGAAAGCGTCGATAAAAATTCAGAATAAATAATTAAATAAATAAGTAAAAGTAAAAAGTAAAGGTATCCCTGTAACAGGCCGTGGAGGCCCATAGGGTTGTGAGATGTTTAGGTTCTCGCATTTTCTAGACAAACGGCTCATAGATGGCGGCAAGGTTGTCAGCCTTACGCGCCGACCGCGCTTTACCCCCAAGAATATTCCTGGTACTCTATTTTGTTAGAGGCTGAGTCGACCCCAGGGCCATAGTGCGACTGGAAGGATTAGGTCAATTGAAAAAATCCAATGACCTCATCGGGACTTGAACCCACGACCTTCCGGCTTGTAGCATAGCGCCCCAACCAACTACTTTGCCGCGTGCCCCCTTTAAATAAATAAGACATTCATTAAAATGTAAATATATTGCTTAAACGCTAAACATATAAGGTATGGCTTATCACACTGAAATAGATATTTTTTCTTTGTATTTCGTTAAATATTCACCATAGAGAAAAATGTTTCACGTTGAAGTTACAAGCCTCAGTGAAATCTATAATTACCTCAAATTGTTTCGAAAAAAGAGCTGATTTGGAGGAGGTCGAAGAAGTTTGGCTTGAGCTTCGTGTTACATGTATATTTTAATGAGAGGAACAGAAATTAAATTTATAGTGTAGTGTCTCAGTACTCAACTAAAGGAGAAACAACTGTACAAAAACACAGATCCTTAACGAATCATATAAAAAAGAGGGAAACAACGCTACCAGGACCCCAGAGGACGGCAAGTAACACCCCGATCTCCCGTTTTTACAAAAGAGGCACGGATACACAAACCTCAGTGGTTAAAGTTTTTAATTATTAAGAATATTAATTATATATTATTAGCTTAAACACATTTAAACTTTAATATTTAAAATTTTTCTACGAAATTTTAAGCATATGTATTACGATGTACATAATGAGAGTTCCTAAACATGTTGTATATTGCCTTCTGAAGATGGTCACAACTGATCGAAACATGTAAAGGCACTATATAAACAAATATGTACTAAGTCACACTGGACGGTATTGTCAAATTATTTTATAATAATGAACTAGTGTGACGGACCATAATGAATAAAGTTAAACTCATTTATAAAGATTTTCAATTTAGACCTCCATTGCCAAATTTTATTAAAATCCATCCAGAAGTTCCGAAACTAATTTGCAGCAGAACAGCGATCCAAGATTATATAGGACGTCATTTCGCACATATGCCTTCGTAATTTCAACGCATATTCCATTACAATTTCATTTGTTTTGATTTTTTAATATATTTTTTGTCGTTTCATTGCATTACTTTTAAATATTGAGCTCCCTAGTGAAAATGGCTCTGAATTGTCATTTAAATTAAAATTCACCCCACACTGCTTCTAATCACAGCTTTCCGGGGGTATACTTTTAATAATTAATGCAATTATTCAGTAAATATCTTAAGCCCTCTTTATGAATATAAACTGCAATATTATTTTAATCCGAGGAATTCCGGCTACTAGCATGGTTCGTGATTGACGTTAAGTATAGATCTCTTGTAAGACGTTGAAGACATTAATTATAAATCAGCAGAGGCGACAAATAATGGCAGTGTATTTGATTGGATCTTGGATGCACAAATGACTCAACAATAAATGAACTAAATTGTGTGATACACCATCGCAGATTACAGTGGAAAATAGGTTTGAGGCACTTGGGTCGTTCACTCCTGCCCCGTTACCGAAATAAGCCGCAGATTTAACAAGAGATATAAGGAGAAATGTTCCACAAAAGCGACAAAGTGCTGCAGCCACTCTCATACGTATAAAACAGTTGGGAGGACGCAGTTTTTAAGGTGTCGCCTTTCCCGAATCATGGCATCTTTTTGTACCTTGAACAGATTTGAATACCATACGCAACAGGATACTGAGCAAGTCAGCTCAAACGGTAAAGCTTCTGACATGTTTGGGAGGTACCTGGTTTGAATCTCAGCCGGAACGACGATCCTGAGATTTATTTTCTCCAGTCCCTCCAGTAAAATGCCGACATAATAATTTGAAACTGGCCAACATCGCTTTCTTCCACATTCATTCCAAATTAGTATTCACTGATCATCCTACAATTCGGCGCTATATAGTCCCAGATACTGACTCCGTGGCCTGTAGTCCTCAAGCAAACTATACCGACCGAGCGACCCTTGTTTTCGGCGAAGTTAGTGCCAACTTCATCGGATAGGTGGTGTCGCGTGGTCAGCGCAACGCATCACCACGGCCGTTAATCTCGATTTTCTAGACTGGAGCCGCCATATCCTCAGTTATCCTCACGAGGCTGAGTGGACCCCGTTCCAGACCCACTGTTTCTCAGAAGATCTGGTAGAGCCGGAAATCGAACCCGGGACCTCTGGATCTGTAGCTAGAAACTCTGACCACTAGACTACAGAGGCGGTCACAATACTGATAGCGTCGTTAAATAAACTACTGATAATTTCACGACAAGGAACTTAGAGATTTCTACATATCTGCCAATACCACGAAGGCACTGAAATATATTCTGTGATGGGCTGGGCATGTGGCTAGGACCGAGAGACAAGGGGTTCAGAGAGAATAATTTTGGTGGCCCGAAGTATCTTGGAAAATGGGCTTTGGAAGAAGGAGAAGATGGTGCGAGATAAAATGAAGATGAATCCCAGGGAGATCGCTTGTGAGAGAAGGTGGACTTAACTGGTTCGTGATATGTTCAATGTTTGGCTCTGGCATTAGCCGTGTTGGACCTCTGGGTTTTGCTGCTAGAGGGTTGGTTAAATGTGAAGACTGATCTTAAGTAAACAGGTCGTGAGGAGGGTTAGGGTGCTGAGATTGGCTCAGCTTCGTGCCCAGTGCTGAGTTTTGATATTTTTTTTATTGCTAGTGGGGTGGAACTAAGTCCCTTGTACTGCGGCCACTTCTGGCCCTTTGTACCAGCCCCAGATGATAGGTGGGAGTGATTGTGGAGCAATTGGTGGAATGAAGATTGGCAGGGGAAACCGAAGTACTCGGAGAGAACCTGCCCCAGCACCACTTTATCCACCAGAAATCCAATTTGACCAGATCCGGGATCGAACCCGGGCTGCCGCAGTGGGAAGTCAGCGACTAACCGCTTGAGCTATGGCGCGGCCCGAGCTTTGATATTAGTAATGAGAATATTCTGCTGCCAGAATGTTAGTTAATTCTCATTTCCTGAGTATATTTATTTTAATCTTGTTAAGAATACAGTAAATAGAAAACATTTCAAAGAGAACTTATTTACCTTAATGGAAAATGTTTTCATTTTGTGCGCAATTTTAGTACAATGAGTTGCTTTTAATTAAATTAATAATATTCTTTCATATATTCAAACATCCGACAGTTAACACTACTATAAGCTCATCTGTCGTAATGAGCAAACATTAGATTCACATTCATCTGTTCACTACTACATGATGGTACTTGCTTAAACAGGCAAGAAGCCAAAGGCTAGTGGATGAAAAAACAGTCATTAGTCAGTTCGCTGTCATTACGGACTATGACCGAAGACTAAATATATACAAATTGTTTAATATTAAAAAAAAATAAAACCCAAATTTTGTTTTTAATTGACCTACTATGAACTCAGCAAATATTTTCTTTCGGTTTTCTCTTAATTGCAATTTCCTTTCGTCGTCGTCCTCCTCCACCCACCTGCTAGTATATTCCGGGGGTAATTTCGAAGCACTCCTAATAATCACCTTCCTTTGGTTATCATGAAAACCGTATTTCGGGGAAAGTATGTTGGATATACAATATCGTTAATTTTTCTCTACAACCTTTGTTCGAAACATATTGTTTCCGACAGATATATAGCGAGTCATGTGCAGAAATGTGTGTGGGTCTTTGCGTAAAGTGGTAATTAAACTTGTCAGATTTCAATTAAAATTAAAATTTCTTACGATTTTTTTTTTGTAAAATTCCCAAATATCAAATTTTATTAAAATCCGTCCAACAGATCTCAAGTTGTTTCATGGGTACTGAGAATGGATGGACTACGCGAAAATAACAGGCACTCCACAGGGTTACGAACGCTCCTAAAAATAAAATGCTGTCTTTATGAGAAAGATCCATTTATCGTGACAAAGCTTAGAACTACCGTCATTCAAATGGTAGGTAAAATAAAGGAAAATTCTTTTGAAGTTCACAGCCCGTTTTTCGTAGAATGTGGTCTGGACAGCTCATTCATTGAAGAAGCTGGCTGCTAGACGGCCGAAGTTTGATTCCCGGCAGAGTATAATTTTTATTTTTACCACACCACCCAGATGGTCTCTCCAATGGACATCGGGGTCTCTTTCCCTATGCTAAAGTGACTGAAACGTTAAGCTGCTTATTAACCTTCATCGGGGGCCGACAGTGAGAATGAGTGGAGATTTACCTGAACTTTTTCACAAGTCTTCATGCCATATCACTATAAGCAGAACTGTACTCTACCGTGAAATTTAATGCAGTTTTAGAGACTAAAGAAGGAAGTTCATCATTAGGTAGTATTGGTACTTATAAAATAATGGAGCAAACAACATTATTGGTAAGATACTGCCATATTTGTTACCCGATGTCATATAATCTCAATACTGAAAGCTTCATTAATAACCTACTTGCACTACACATACACATTTTTCGTATTGATTTTTTGACTGATTGTGTTTTTATTCCCTTCGAGCACTAAAATTTTGTTTGCCAGGAGCAACCTGTTACCCACCTCTCTCGTAATGGAACCCAAAGATTCAACACTGCCAATAACAAAGGCAACAATTGGCTATGATTCTTGGTCAGTTCCATCCATCTCCAATCTTCAAATCTAGTTCTCTAAGGTCTTGTTTCTCATGCTGAAAACATATTTCATTCTGTAAATATTACAGCTGTTTCCAAGTATTCTCTGTGACTGATACTTAATTTCTCTATATTTATGTGTATTGGATACCTAAGGGATTATTTTTCTTATATTTCAGGAAACAACAGAGGTCTATTTCCTCGGTATTTTCTGTGTAGAAGCGTCCCTAAAGATCTTAGCACTAGGTTTTGTACTTCATCCTAGATCGTATCTACGCAACATTTGGAATATGATGGATTTTGTTGTAGTTGTCACAGGGTGAGTAACTGTTCACAAAAAATCACTGTTAGCTTTCTCTTTAATTTGATCTAATACTTATTCATTCCTTTATCTTTAATTCATTACATCATAATGATTGAGAGATTCAGACTTTTTAAACTCTCTTGAAATTTTATTCTGTGTTTGAGCTTTTAAAACTACACTTTCTCTAAGTGTAATAATATTCGTTTTGAAATTACTGCTTATGTAGTATAATTCAGAAGCATTATAAATGTTTCATTCTAAACCTAGATGTGTTATTCGAGTCCCTGATATTATCGTTGCTTGTATTATAACATATATCAAGCATTTGTTCAGCATTTAATATGAGAATTGAATTCATTCTCGTTCTGTTATAATTTTATATGTCAGATATAGAAATAATATGTGTATATTTAGGTCCATGACATTATTCTTCGAGTCAAATGTGGATTTGGATTTGCGGATGCTTCGTTCTTTCCGTGTATTGAGACCGCTGAAATTGGTTTCAAGAATCCCAAGTAAGTTGGTAGCAGCTTCAGTGAGCGCACCAACTCAACATCAGTCTCTTTCCCCTCTAGACCTAGTCAGATGTTGCCGTATTATCATTATTATTATCATGTTGTTGCGTTTATCATTGGAATGAACCCTATCACTTATATTTTATGTGTTTTACTTAACTTAGGTGCAGTCCACAAAGCTAGATGGAGTATTTAATTATCCATAATATTTGTATTTTTGTCTTAGACATAGACTTGGCGTATAGATGTTGATGACAAGGACCTTCCATAAATATTGTTTCATAAAATTTTAAATTTACTTCATGCTGTAGAAAAAGGATAATTTTTTGCATAAATTGTGTACATCTGTGACTTTCATATTGATGTTCACCGAAAGTGAATTTCAGATGTCATCCATTTTACAAAAAATGTTAAATTTTATTAATATATATCCCTATAACTTAATGCTGAAAGCAGCACTACGTTTTGGCACAATAATGAAATCAGTTAAATTGTAATTGTTAAATTAATCTTGTACAGAAATTTATTAGGTACCATAGTATGCAACTGAGAATAAATTCACTTGCAGGAATAGCTGTAATCTATATATTGGTTCTAGTATTCCAAAACAGAAAGTTCTGTGATTAAGTGTGCATATTTCTTTATCTATAATTTATTTGTCTATAAAGAATGGTGATGTAAAAACAACATTTATGGACTCCTGTTTCTACTTCCAGTTTTACAAGATTGTCATGTCACTTTGCAGTGATGCTGTCTGCGTAGTGTGTCCCTGTCAGCTCTAGCCTACTGTTGACATTTAACTCAGTACTGGCTAGTGATTGTATGAGTTGTTGTGGCTGCTGTATGGAGAGAATGGTTGTTGACATTGATATTAACTTTTAACTTTGTTTACTAGTATGTGGAGGGGGCTGTTCAATATCAACATGTTCAGGATTTTCAGTCTGGATGACTTTCAGATTAAATAAAATTATTAAATTTCATTTGGATCCCGCTACAGAAATATACCTCCCTCCTGAAGCATAACAATTTTGCTTATTACTGCAAGAATTTCTAGCAGATGTAATATAAAAACGATTATATGAGGTTCAAAATACTTATCCATCAAATGCCAATTTCTGGAATTCAGAGATTAAAAATTTTGAGATTTGTACAGGTTTTTGAAATATTGGATAAACTGTGTGTTACTTCACACTCTCTTTAACGAAACTGGGTATTCAGACATCTTTTAGAGGTTTATTATTACACGTGTGTAACAGTTACCACAATGAAAACTGCATCATGGCCATTGATTTTTAGATCATTAAAGGATAGGAGATGATTGTTTGCATTTGTTTTTATTTCCAAAATATAAATTATAATTTTGATGTCCTCTCCCATGTGTCATTAAGGAAATTGTAATTTGTTTTTATTCAATTTGGAAGAGTCTCGAATTTGTGAATTGCTAATACAAAGGGTTTTGCATTGGATTAGGCATGTCTGTACATGAATTATATTTTAAAATTTAAATGGGGAAGATCTGGGTTTAACTGAATTTTGATTAATTCTCAATAACAAGACTGGATAATTAGATTATACTTATTTTTAAAATTCTTAAAAAGAATCCCAATTGTTAATTTTCTTACATTTGACTTGAAAATTCTGGTATATCCTGTATGTTACAAGTTATAGGCACCTTTTAAAATATTCACAATTTTTTAAAAGCATGTAGATATTTTAAGGAGAAATGAAAGGATAATTGGTAAATAGCTTTCGGGCTGAAGGGTGTGAAAGGCACTAAAATCAAAAGTACCTTCCTATTTATGGAGTCAGAATATCATGTGCTTCACAGACTAAGGTAGATCCGATGGAGAGCAGGCTGGTCTTCTAGACAAGGAGATAAACAACCTGTCCTTTGAATTTCATAAAAGAAAGTCCAATACATTCATACTAACAAAAATTGCACAGAGTTTATATAAAGACTGTTCAATTTCAAGAAAGTAAATGAGGTAGACAGAAAAGAGCAGTATCATATTAAAATCTTAAAAAGGTTCACAGCATTGGAAAGGCAATATATAATTATAATTGAACATTTGGAAACCATCAGAGAGAATAACAAAATTTCAGCCAAAGAGGGTCTACGTTATTATGAATTGAAGAAGAATAAGCTGTAATTTGATGAAGGATGCTCAAAATTATGAGATTAAGGGAAACAAGTCAAATTGCAATAGTTACAGTATCTAAGCAAATTTAGGGAGGATAATCTGAACAATATAAGATGTGAAACCAGCAGGCATTTCAGAAAAGAAAAAAAGAGGGAATATCTGAAAGACAAAATTAATGAGCTTACAACAAACAGTAAGAACAAGAACATTAGAGACCTGTATAAAGGGATGGATGACTATAAGAAGGGTTACCAACCTAGAAGTAAATTAGTGAATGATGAGAATGGTGATCTGCTTGCAGATTCCCACAACATTTTGAATAGGTGGAAGAACTACTTCTCTCAGTTAGTGAATGTACATAGGGTCAGTGATATCAGGCAGATAGAAATACATATAGCTGAGCTGTTAGTACCTGATCCTAGTCCTTCTGATGTTCAATCTGCTGTTGCAAAGTTGGAAGTTATAAATCATCAGGTAGTGATCAAATTTTGGCAGAACCTATTCAAGCAGGAGGTGAAATATCATGGTCTGAGATCCATAAACTCATTAATACTATTCAGAGTAAGGAAAAATTTCCTGATCAGTAGAAGGAGTCTAGTATTGTAAAAGTTCAAAAGAAGGGTGATAAAATCGACTGAAGTAATTATCATGGGATATCACTGCTATTAACTTCACACAAAATTTTGTCCAATATTCTTCTCTCAAAGTTAAGTCCATATATAGATGAAATTATTGGGAATCATCAGCGTGGGTTTCAACATAACAGATCAACTACTGATCAGATCTTGTCCATTTGTCAGATATTGGAGAAAGGAATAGGAGTACAATGAGACAGTACATCCGTTATTCATAGACGTCAAGAAAACCTATGATTCATTCGAGAGGGAAGTATTGTACAGTATTCTGATCAAGTTTGGGGTAATCATGAATCTATTTTGGCTGATTGAAATGTATTTAAACGAAAAGTATGGTAAAGTCCATATAGGTAAATATTTAACTAATAATTTTCCTCACCAGAATGGTCGAAAACAAAGAGATGCTTTATCACCACTGTTTTTCAACTTTGCTTTAGAACAGGCATGTCCAACTTCAAACAGGTTGTGATCGACTCTTTAGTGTCCAAACTGCCAGTGATCTACCACCCCCTCCTATCGTTGTACCTCGCTTTAAGCAAAAATATTGGTAAAAATAACATGACATGTGATGTTTGTTGTAAAAGCAACATACTTGTATATTGAAATCACAGACTACTTTCCCTTCAAAATCTGAATATAATCATATTATATTACAAGTGAATTTACACACTTTTCACACATAATGTCCTTATAAGCCTATGAGATCGACCAGAAATCATCCCGTGATCAACGCGCTGGGCATGCCTTCTTTAGAACATGCCTTTAGTAAGGTCCTTGAAAACCAGGTTGGACTGAAATTAAGTGGGACACATCAGCTGTTGGTCCATGCTGATGATGTGAATCTACAGTGTGATAATATAGGTTCATTCATTCATCTGTAATCTGTCAGACGAAACACAAACATGCATATCATATATAGGACTAATTTCAGGTTTTTTCCATTTCATATATTGGAATTTTAAAAATATCCATTAAATCTGTTGCCACCTGCTTGTTCTATAAAAATGTAGTTATTAAATAATCTATTAACAGACTACTACTACTACATTATATATATATATAAATTCTCCCATATCGGTGTTGCATTCACCTCTGCCTACATGTAACCAGCAAAGATTTACCCATTGTTCTGTTTTACTGAAGTAATATATACCCTGGATTTGTGAAGATAGAGATGGCAGCAAGTATCAGTTTGAATAACATATGCTATTACAGATACCTAGAATAGTGATGAACATAATTAACATTGTATCAAACCATTTAATATTGAATAGCTTCCCTACTGAATCTATGGCCTGGCATTCATTCTCATGAAAATCGCTCAATACCGACCCAGATTTGATTTCCAGGCCAGTTTTCTCATTTTAGTCTTAGCTAGATGCCTGCCTGCTCATAGCACATTCAATGCAAATATTTGTTATCCATAAATAACCAGGCCATAAGATTGTTGTAAGTTAATGTTTTAGACAAATCTATAGAGTAATGATTAATTATTATTTTAATTTTCCTCTTTCCAGGAATTGCATATTTACATTGGTATTGGTCAGCGGCATGTGAGCAGCTTTTAGTGTACTCCATATTGCAACACTGTTGCTCTCTGCTAGTTTAGTCAGTTAGTGTTTAGTAGTAGTGTGTTTGATTGGTAATATTTGTAACCTGCAGTCCTTTGTGATCAAATCTGCTCGCCCATGAAAATCATACTTTATATTTCACTTTTTAAACTCTTTGAAATGTAAATTTTGTCATAAATTTAGCTTATTCGTACAAGTTGAATTCAATATATTTTTTAACTAGATTTTTAAATTCTAAAATCAAAGTTGAGTATTTTTAGCATACATAAAACACAAGTAAATTTTACCATATACAAACTGAAGTTTCCTTTCTCTTTCATGTTTGTCAGTTCTGTAATTAAAATCTATCAGTATGGCGAGGTGTTAGATTTTCTCTATTTCATAAGTGACATTTTTCTAATTAAAATAGGACCTTACCATAGCTCAGGCAATTAGTTGCTGGCTTTGCACTATGGTGGCATGACCCAAGTTTGATTCCAGACCAACTAAATTTGTGTTGGAGAAAGTGGCACTGGGACAGGATTTCTCTGAGTACTTTGGTTTCTTCTGCCATTTCTCATTCTGCCAGCTGCTGTCAGCTATAACTAAAATATGTATGTGCTATATCTAACATTAAATATTTGTCAATGCTAATAAATCTTATTTATCTACTTGGTGCTGGTTATGATAGCACAGTATGACATGCTTTTATTACCTTAAATGGTTTAACAGCTTTGACCACAAGTTTGCAAATTTTAGGTATGGAGTTGGCAGCTATGAATGGAGTATTAGTGCTAACTCTTTTAACAGTAGCTTATATTTGCCTAGTTTTGTCTAGTTTAGTAATAGGTCTAGTCTAGTTGAGACCTAGATCTAATGTATCCATGTATTAGTTCTTAGTATCAGTAGCAGTTTGTGGTAGTGATAGGAAGTAATTGCTTCCACAGGTTCATTACACAGTTCCCTTATAATGAAGATATGGACATGGACCTCCGTACTCTCAGAGCCATTCGGGTACTCAGACCCCTCAAACTGGTGTCAGGAATACCCAGTAAGTAACCATTCATATCATGTGACATGGGTCCATTTGAAAGTATCACGAGCATCCCCAGGACCAGAGTACTTTGCCATTCATCTGACATTGCAGACATTTTGTTAACATTGTTATTTGGAATTTGAAACCATGAAATTTATATACTCTGTAGTGTTCTTATTTTCTTAACCTCCATGATTCCAAGAAAATAAATTATTTAGTTTTTCATGTGACACTGTCAGTAATGGCCACATGTTCTACCTGCACAATTACATTCCTAGGTGGAACTGAAATTGAGAAAAGAACGTTTGCAAGTTTGGGAGTTTTATTGACTTTAATTGCTGGTTTTAAAGTTCCTGTTAGTTTTTACATAACATTCTTAATTATTATTCTTACTTCATCAGAAACTGTCTAATCAGTCCATATTGGATATTACTACTATAAACAGATGAAAATCTGTTACTTTGATGTCACTTTTTAAGAATTAGTTCATACATCAAATATATACTAGTGAGTCACACCTGTAGTCACAAAGTAGCAGACTTTTAACTAAAAAGTTTCAAATTACTATGGGCTCTATCTGCTAGGATCAAAGAAAAATTTTCTTTTGTCTTAAAATTAGGGAATTCTATGTGAAAAGAGAAATGGTTCATATTCTTAAATTGATTAACAAATCAAGCTTTAATTTCCATGAAAATTGTTAAATTACTTTCTTAAAGTTATGCTTTCATTTTGTGTTTGGAGACATGCGGCTACCATTTTTTCAGAACCACATTAAAAATTGCATGATTCTTGTTAAGAAACTGAGACTAGCTCACATCACTCATTTGAAAGAAGATGATCTAGTGACTGCTATCTGCTTACAAAATAGATTAGATATATTAATTTCTGTGTGCATGATTGAGTGGCATATGATTCCTTAGGAACCCAAATAAGAACCTCATACACAGTTTTGTAATTCTGATTAATACTGAGTATGCAATTTGATGCTGGGGTTTGAATGCAGGTGTTTTTATGTATATCTTGATATATAGTTCCCAGATTGTTATTGGTTATATTTTGGAAGCACTGAAATGTAAATGAAATGAGAGTTGTTTATTTCCCCATTAATGCATTTATAACAGATATCAAAACAAAAATAGAATAAAATAAAATTTCATTACAAATTTGTGGTATTTGGAAAGCAACAACCATACAACTCTACATTTCATCATGTCATATGCATGGTATCTGTGTGATAGTGTTATATGTTTGATGTGCAGGCCTGCAGGTGGTGCTCAAGTCCATCATCAAGGCAATGGCACCGCTGCTTCAAATTGGGCTGCTGGTGCTGTTTGCAATTGTCATATTTGCTATTATTGGACTCGAGTTCTACTCAGGTGCTCTGCACAAAACATGCTATAGTGTCGAGAATCTGGGTAAGTGACTGACTACTTATTGCTTATTTGTGTGATAATACAGGTAGGATATTTGACAGAGAAGTGCAAGTTTGTTGTCTTGCCAACAGCTAACCTAACAAGCTGCAGCCTTGTCAAGAGTACCTTACTAACCTATTTAAGATTTCAATTGAAACCTTAATTCTGTTTTCTTGTCCAAGATGTTTTTAATCATTAGAAATGTTTAGCCTATTGAAATATTTCTTTAAAATGTTGATATGATGAATATTTAATGGAACATAGGAGAAAATTTATTCTGACATCTAGTTTTGGATTTTTGTCTGCAGTAAATGAAATTCAAGGGTAATGATATATGCAATACAACTAACTCATTCTGAAAATTTGTGAACACCAAATTTCAGTACTTCTTTCCTCATGTGTTTAATTTCTAAATAAAGAAATATATATATATTTTGGTACATTCATAAGCATACACGATAAAATCTCAATAAAATTTCTTTACATGTTATAGTCACTAGTATTGTGTTTCTCCACTTGTATCATATTCATGTAAACAGTTTGAAGGAAATATATATTTTCTGAATGTTATATGCAGGCTTGTTCTAATTTCTGATATGAGAAATGCCAGCCTGTTAAGCATCCTAAAAATGTAAAAATTGCTTTACTATATCTGTTCAGTGGTTTGTGGTACATACCATAGTACTGTACTTTCAGATGAGATTGTAAAAGAAGGTGAAATGGCAACACCATGTAATACACATGACAAAGATGATGACGCCCCTGCTGGCAGCTATGTATGTGATGCCAATATTTCCATCTGCCACGAGGGTTGGGAGGGGCCTAACTATGGAATCACCTCATTTGATAATATTGGTTTTGCCATGCTCACCGTATTCCAGTGCATCACTATGGAAGGCTGGACCGCCATCTTGTACTGGGTAAGTTTCCAAGATTTTTCATTTTGAGAGTTCTCACAGTGCTAATATAAGTTATGGTTCAGTTGTCTAAGTGTCATATGATGTATGTATCATATGACAAATTCCATGCAAGTACTGAAGAGATGCAAATTTGTCATAACACTCAGTTTCAATATTTTGAGTTGAGAACCTTGGCCATGCTTAGATATACTCGTATGTCTATTAAATTCTATTAGAAATTATTCTCATGCAGATCCAAAGACAGTATGATAATCTTCTGAGCATAATTAAGTTGTGTCAAATGTTTTGTTCATTTTTTAAGAAAATCATAATAAATAATGTCATTCTAATAAGTAATGTGCTCGGTCTCAAAAGGTGTTATTGATATTGTATTTAGCAACATGCAGTACAGCTGCATAATTTGTAATGCTGTATTACAGTGTTTCATTGCATTTCAGAATAGAGTTGTTCAGAATCAGGTACAGTGATCATGTAATGCAAATTCATATTTTGCAGACAAACGATGCACTGGGCAGCGGTTTCAATTGGATCTATTTTGTGCCCCTCATTGTTCTGGGTTCTTTCTTCATGCTCAACTTAGTTCTTGGTGTTCTTAGTGGGTGAGTAATATCTGTTTGTATTTGTTTTTTAAAAATATGAAGACATTTAAAAATTTAGATTCTGAAAAGTGTTTAAAAGATTAACTATTAGCAAATCTGGATATGTCTTTATGTTTTCATTTCTTAAGCTTTGAACCCATGGAATTTCTATTATTTTGGTAATTGGGAAGGAATTGATGATTTTAATAAAAGTATGAACAAACTATATGGATGTATTCCAGTGAGTTTTCCAATGAGAGGGCTCGTGTAGAACGTCGAGCCAATTTTTATCGTGCCCGTACAAAGCAACAGTTCTCAGAGGCCTTGAGTGCCTATCTTGAATGGATTACGCAAGCAGGTAGTACCTTGAAAATGTTATGAAACTTGAGACAGTATCATATGCAGGCATATGTTGCTATAAATTACATTTGGACTTACTAGATACTGCTATGCTGTAATAATATGACCTGCTAATGGTATTTGAATTGAAATCATTGTAGTTAGTACCCAGGTAACTGAAAATTAAAACTCACAATAGAAATGGTACATTTTATTACCCTCTGCCATATATTTCAGTTATAAGACCATGTTTTGACTGAAGGTTTTCTTCAGGTTATTTTCATATATGATTTTTTTTATGTTGTTACTGAATTGTTTAACTTTTTAGAAGTTCTATTTAGAGTAGAGAAGAAGGTTCTCATGACTTGTACCTATATAAATAACACATTTATTCACAAATAAATGTTTGGAAAATTTGTTAGGTATTGTTTTACATTAATGTGGGAAGCTGCAAAACGTTCTCAAGAATAGTATCAGCATAATGTTAAATTTGCTGTATTTTGCAGTTTAATAAACCTTTAGCTTATGGGCTTCATGACTGAATCATAGCAACAAAAAATTATTAAGAAGCAGTATACAGAAACCATTCAAATTTAAGAGATTGTCTGATTTGTTAAATAATGTGTGTACTGTATCTGGTAACTGACCAGTACAGCTAAGTCAGAACATATAGTTAAAAAGATCTGAAGTTGTTTTGGCAGTGGCTATGAAGATCATTGCCATCCAGGAATGTGAGGCTGTGCAACCTAATATATTCACCACTGTTTTGGAAGAATAATTCCAGGGCCATGGGGTCCCATTTATTTTACACCACTCCCATTGGTTAATCCTCAGCTCCATTCATTTTTCTCTCTGCCTTATATCACTGACCATTTTTCCTGCAGAAATTGTCAGCAATTAAAACTTATTTAAGTAAATAATACATACTATATCAGCAGTTTAGTGTAATATGCTGTAATTATTAAATATCTTGCTTTGTTGTAGTGGCATTGCTGGAGTAACCCTGTCTTGCCTTGTGTTGGAGCCCAGCAATTAATATTTCTGACCAATTCCATGTAATGCTTTTCATTCTCTACTAACAGTGACGCAAATGTAGAGCATATTTTTGAGATATCCTATATTTAGTTAGTACAATGTAAGAAATGTAAATATTACACTTGTACTGTAGCCCCTTGCTTTGCACCCATTCCTTTTACTAGAGAATTTGCCAAGGAGAGAGAAAAGGTGGAGAATAGACAGACGTTCCTCAAGCTGCGACGGCAGCAGCAGTTGGAACGCGAGCTCAATGGCTATGTGGAATGGATCTGTAAGGCAGGTCAGTTTGTCTCTTTGAGGCTGTAACTTTGTATCAAGAAATAATTTAAATTAGTTACTTGTCTATTTATATTTGTCTTTTTATTGGATATAGTTGTAAAGTGACATGTGATCGAATCATATCTAATTGGCTTTCTAAAACTTTCAAGCCCCTGCAGTGTGTTGTCTTTTCTTGAAAGAAAGGTTTTGCATTTAGGTGTTCTGTGCATAGTCTGTAATGTGATGTTCTATTTTATGGTAATATTTGATTTTGGTATAAAGAACTTTTATGAATAATGTAAACATATGTGTTATTACTTTGTTGCAAACAATTCAGTTACCATGCTTGAGGGAAATGAACTTTTGATCTAGAAACCTAATAAAAGAAAAGGTCAGATGAAAGATTGCTATAAAAATGAGAGAATAAATTAAATTATTCTTAATTATGATGCTGAAGTTTATGTTGTAATATGTCTGAAGAGAGGTAGGTTGTTACTGTGGTGATAAATTTTCAGTTTGTTTAACAGCATGGAATTAATGAGTCTTATCAGAATCTCTGCTTGGTTCTGTTTGTTATTCTTCTTGATGCAAATTGTGGTCCCTGTTTCAGAGGAAGTGATCCTTGCTGAGGAAAGGACCACAGAAGAGGAGAAGATGCACATAATTGAAGGTGAGTGTGTATATGTTAAATTTAAATTCATGTTAATTATGATGTGTAAGTTATCCATGGCAGTGAAGATTTAGATCATGATTGATGTTTTGACTCTACATAATCTGGTAGATAGTTACCAATGAGCTGGAGAAACTTGCTGCCTCCATCTTCAGGGTAGAAGATGGCAGCAGGCGGTTCCCCTGAAACATAGGTAACCACCTATCAGACTTATGGTGTTCATAATCCAGAAGATTCCAATCTATGGACTGCTGTTAAAGGTGTCATTCGCAAGTGCTACTGCTTTAAAATCATGTTTAACCTCTAGTTATCACACTAAAGGTCATTCACCTCAATTTATGAAAGGATACTGAACCAGAACTAGACAGTATGTCGTTCTTTATGTGAGAATGTAGAGATGGGATGTGCAATTCTTAGCAAATAATTGTGAGGAACTCTGTGTCAGAAACTGGACTGATGTTGTCATCATTGCTGTTAGAGAGCATACCATTACTTTCCTAAGATATCACTTATACAGTTTCATTTAGGGATATGGTCTCCATAATTTAATGACATTTATTTAATTAGAAATGTTAGAAACCTTTTAAAGAAAATCACAATTTCGCATTTGGGCGCCTGGGTGAGAGGCGTATATTTTTGGAACTGGAATGTTCATGTGCACCAGGAACTAACCTGTTGTGGATAAAATCTTAAATATCAAATATGAGTGAAGTTCAAGCAGCCATTCAGGCTTTGGTGAGGAACACATATGTACTGTCTTAAATATAGACAGACTACATTCCCAAACAAATTTTCCATATTCAGATATGCTGAAAACATGTAAATCTGTCATAATCTAAAGATAATTTTTTCACAAGTACAATACTTTTTCTCACTTGTTTGAGAAATAAAACAGATGACAGGATGACACTCTTTAAGCTGTGATGTTGTACAGTTTGGCAGATAGGCACTGATATTTCATTCAATGATATGAGAACTTCAAACTGCACAAAGATGGCACATTTGCTTAATAAAATTCAGCGAGAAAGTGGTCAATATGGCGCATTTTCCATCATTGTGCCTACTTTTTCTAAATGTAATCCTCTTAGTATGAGTGCATAGTAGTTAGGATAACCTGTGTTTATGTCTTTGTGCAGATATTTCTAAGTAATTTTTTAACTTTGGAAATGCTATAATTTATTACTTTCAGCAAGGAGAAGAGCAGCAGCAAAAAGAAAAAAACTAAAAAATTTAGGAAAGAGTAAAAGTACTGATACAGAAGAAGAGGAGGGAGAGGAGGAGGATGAAGATGGTGAGTGAGAAGAAGGGATCTAAAAACTAGAGATAAACATAGTGTTTTCTTCCACTTGCACCAGCTGGCCTGTGCCTTGATGACAGTTCACAAGTAGTGCGGAATCACATGGTAAGTGCATTCTGAGAGGGAGAGGCAATTAGAGCTAGGTCCAGTATTCCAACCACTCAGCCTCCTGCTGTCTCAGGGAAGGAATCCAAGTTGACAGGTAAAGTTTCTTTATGACAGACAGAGTGCATTCATTTCTGCAAGAGCTTATCAATGCCTTAGACATACAAAGTGAAAGGCGAAAGTGAGCAGCATCTAAGTGATAAAATTATGTAGTTGATGGAAGAATGACACTTCTGCATTACAGGATACCAGGATATTTATGAAAATAAAATCCTGGCAATATTATGGTTACATATTTATGATATAACAGAGAGAGATACTATATTGAGTAACATTAGAATTCATAGGAATTCACATTAATTGTTGGTAGAAAATTCTTCAAAGATGCTGTGCTTAATACAGCTAACATTCACCATATCATAGATTTACTCACAATACCTCCAAAACTAGCTGGTGTAACAGTTATGCTCTAAACTTATACGAAGGGGGACCCAAAAATAACTGGAAACGACCTGTTGCGCGCGCATGCTTTGTAGTTACGAGTTATGCTGCTAGGTGGTGTTAGCTGGGGGTCTCCCGTGACTGTTAGTGAGCTGGCGTCAGTCTGAG